CAGCTGTCCTGGAACTCACTATGTAGACGAGGCTGGCCTTGAACTCAGAAATCTTCCTGCCTCTACCTCCTGAGTACTGGGATTAAAGGTGTGCACTACCTCACATGGCCCCAATTTTTAAAAGACTGGGCTGGACAAATAGCTCAGCAGTTAAGAGCACTGGCTGCTCTTGCAGATGACCTGTGTTTGAATCCCAGCACCCACATGGAGGCTAACAACCGTCCATAACTCCAGTTCCAGGGGATCTGACGCCCTCTTTTGACCTCTGCAGCATTGCAAAAGTGTACTTAATATATGCGCAGACATGGAGTACGCCTTTAATCCAAGCACTTGGGAGGCAAAGGCAGGCGGATTTTTGTGAGTTTGAGGCCAGCCTGGTCTACATAGTGAGTTCCAGGACAGCTGGGGCTACAAGGAGACCCTGTCTCAAAAAGACAAAAAAAAGTGTACTTAATATATGCGCAGACAATGCATTCATATACATAAAAGAAAATAATAAGATAAAAAATTTTTTAAAGATTTATTTACTTTCTATTTTATGTGTATGAGTGCTTGCCTGCATGTATATATGTGTACTTCTTGTGTGCCTGGTGCCTGTGGGGCTGTGATACAGCCCTATTCTGTATCATCTTTAAATATTAAGGTGAAATATTAAGGTTAAATATTAAGGTGAAAGCCTAAAAAAAAAAAAATAAAGAATATCAATTACTTTTTAGTGGTTAGGTGCATGGCTGATCTTGCAGAGGACCCAGGTTCGATTCCCAGCACCCACATGGTGGCTAACAACCATTTGTAACTCCAGTTCCAGGGGATCCAACACCCTCTTCTGACCTCCATGGGCATTGTGTGACACAGGTGCACCTACCTACATGCAGGCAAAACACTCATACACATAAAATTTAAAAATAAATTAAAGCCGGGCGTGGTGGCGCACGCCTGTAGTCCCAGCACTTGGGAGGCAGAGGCAGGTGGATCTCTGTGAGTTCAAGGCCAGCCTGGTCTACATAGTGAGTTCCAGGCCAGTTGGGGCTACAGGGAAACCCTGCTTCAAAAAGACCAAAAAAAAGAGAAAGAGAAAATAAATTAAAAATAATAATAATAATTAAAAAAAACATATTTCCCAAAAGACATCTACATATTATATACTTCCATCTGTTTGGTTCTTAATGCTACATTTGCAAAAAAGCAAAGTTACTCCAGGATGCTTCCTCCTAATAAAATCTTTGCTCCTGGGGAGACAGAGGGCAAAGGTATAAGGGGAGCGCTGCACTCTTGTCCAGGGTTTCTGCGGATGGAGGCTATCAGCCGTCAGCACAGGGGTGGCTGCTGCCAAGTGCTTTCCTCTAGAATCCCTACATGAAACCAGTTCCAAAAATATTTTGACACTAGAACACATTCTTTACCGAAAATTACTGACATAATATAGGCCTTTTTCTAGAAGACTTGAATTTAGAGTATTAACAACAAATATACACTTGAAATCATGGAAGAGAGCACAAGAGAGGGAAGAAAGGAAACAAACATTTAAATTATGTGCTACAACAGGCAATGTGTCAAGTCTTAAATTTGTTATTGCTATACTATATGAAATCTACCTCAAACCAAACTTAAATGACACTGTCAGCTGCAGAGAAACTGAGAGCAAAGGGAAGTAGGTCACACCTAAAGCACAGGCTGTTTTCTGTGCATTGTTAGTAATTAATATATATAATTCTTGGGGCTGAGGAGAATTACAGTCAGTACAGTATATGCCACACAAACACAAGGATCTAAGTTCCATCCCCAGCACCCATGTAAAAAAGCCAGGTATAATGGGACATAGAGAGAGGAGGATCCTTTGAGTTTTCTGGACAGCCACTCCAGCTCCAGAGTCAGTGAGAGAACCTGTCTCAAAATATAAGATGGAGCACTTACATCCAAGCAGAAAATGGTTGGTTATTCAGATAACATTCATGCCACTATTGTACCAGTTGGCATATCTTACCAGACCAGTTGTTATAGCTTACAGGGTTCATAGTTGGGCAGGGTTGACGATTACTTCTCTCTTGCGATTACATGCATAGCACCTTCCAGCACTATGAAAGCTAGCCAGTAGAGGTGAAGCTTTGAGGTCAGTATGAGCTTGTTTGTTCTGCGACTCATGTATGTAGTAGTGTCTACAGCAATAGAGTCTTAACAGCAAGTTTTGATGAGTAATCATGGAGCCCATACATGGTACTGATATCAGGCCTAGGAACCTGTGACTAGACAGGTCACATGTCATAGAGGAGAACCTAACACTATTATTCTGTTGAATGGACAAAGTATTAAATCAACTCCTCACAACTTATCTTTATACCCATAGATTAATACATCTCTCAACTACCACAAGAGAAGCTTTTTCTTGCAGTAGATGGCAATTAACACAGAGACTACTGGTCAATGTGCAAAGAATAAGAGGCTGCAGAGTGCTTGGACCTGAATGAGACACTTATATAAACTTCTGTCTCCTAAGGCTCAGGGATCATTGCAGAAGAGGGGTTATACAGGGAAGGTTGACCAGGCTCCAGGGAATGGATCCACATCAAAGGGTGGATCCACATCTAATTTTGGTACACAAATTAGACTCAATAGGCCTTAAAAAATAGGGACTGGAGAGATGGCTCAGTGGTTAAGAGCATTAGCTTCTCTTGTAGAGGACCGGGGTTTGGTTCCCAGCATCCACATGGTGGCTAACAATTTGGTCCTAACTCCATTTACAGGGGATATGAAGCCCTCTTATGACCTCCAGGGTCACTATATGAAACAGGTGTCCTTACATACATGCAGGCAATCCACTCATACACATAAAATAAAAAAAGAAAAAAATAATAATAATAATAGGACATGAAATTGGTCAGA